TTCATTCTACGATAAAAATTTAGGTTCGCGTGTTCTCATGATTGGATTTTATGGTTGTTTGGAAACAGTGGCAAGAAAGTGTATAAGTAATGGTAATTCACACAATTAAATACACCTGATCTTCGACTTCTTATTTCACGGAGACTTCGTATTAAATCTTAATACTTAACTTATCAGATTACTCGATCTCCCAAATGAAGCTCCGTTATATCCAATTTCCATCTGTGCTCATTATACATATAAGTTATTTTGTACGAGGGAAAGAAATTCATCTGTGGACTTGTTCTTGTCGACCATAAATTCTACACGCGTACAAGAGCGTGCCATTTGCCGCTGCGTCGATGAGATAAGTTCGTTAATTGATCCATGTGCAGCATGTTAATTCAGCCGCTTGCGCTTACAATAATCGAAACCGTGTTACAGTCAAGACCCCTTGTTAATTGTATGAACGTAATTTATCATCGTTCGTCTCAATGCAATCCGGAACACTGGGGGATTAAGAATATGTTTCAGTAGCTGCGATAAATTATACGCACAGACTAATTTTCACGCAACTAAATGGATTTATGTGACACGTAGAAGTTTGTGTTAGTATCGCGAATGGTAGAAGACGATTTATATGCGTCTGTGGAAAATTAAGACTTCATCTTCGAATTTTATTTATGTTTCATAATTTCATCATGCGTACCGGGAAAAATTTAATTACATTTGCAATATAAAAGTTGGTATAAAAAGATGAAGACTTGAACAAGCAAAGATCCTTTTTAAATTACTGTGCCTTGTTATTATCATCCACTGATACGTAATTCCGACGACGAATTAGGCTCGTCCGTGTTCCTTCCGAGAAATCAGGTTTCATTAAAGTTAGGAGTCAATTTGAGCAAGTGACAAAGCAGCTACATTAGACGGCGCCGAACTAATGGGTCTGCTCGACGATTTTCAAGGATTAAAAATAATGATAAAACAATTTCTTCTCAATTTGAACCTTTCTGATGTGTCAGGCTTATAACGAACAGCTAAAGAGTATAAAAATATCAAAAAGTTCAAATGAGACTGAATAACGTGTTCCAACAGCGCTCACAAAGAGAAACGTACTTTTTTACTTATTCTTTAATGACAACCATCCGTCGAACAATTAATTAGTCGAAATTTTTAACGGGCCCCGGGTCGAGCATGGGGTCCTTAGCCTGACACGCGTGCCTCGGTGGTAGTCGCGTACCACATGCGCATTGTGCGTGCGACTCGCATGAATGAATGCATTCATAAAGGCAACCCGACGCGGCGTGGCGCGCACACGTTACACACACAGTCGACTGCAATCTCAATAAGAAAATATGTCTATTATGTTGTTACAATAACGATATCAATTCATTGACTGTCGTGGCACTGTGCGAGCCCATTGTCTTCGAACAACTGCCACAGGCTACCCGTATTTGACAGGCCACGCTGCGCGTTCATTTATTTTTTAACTGCCAGAGGAATTCATTTTTTCATGCAATCTCAAATAGGGAGCATTTCAGTGTTTCAAATCTGTTCCCTTTGTTCATCCCACAAAAAATGTAAGATTCGTATGGTGAAGGGTTACACATTTTATAATAAATCTGATATAATTATTATAATACAAGTTAAAATATGAGGTAGTATAATAAAAAATAGTGAAGCAAAGTTTGAAAAGATCGCAAGTTTCATTCTGGCTGTTGATATTAGGGATGTAATTGATTTTGTCGGCTTATCGTCTATCCCATGTGCTTACTTCCTCCGGACAAAACTGATATATACGATGTTTTAACTGGCGGACGGCAGTCTGGTAATTGAATTTAAAGGGCGGAAGCGAAGAAATCTGGTCCCTTTTCGTATTAACCTAATCAAGTTCAGTTGCCGCGCCGGTACGGCATCTACGGCGGCCGTCGCGTCGCGTCGCGGTCACAATAGAGACATTAAATTGTTAGTACGGATTTATTAAATTCGACGGTTATAGCCGTGAAACTATTTAACTGTTCGAAGGTCTGCTCGGTTCCAATTACGCAGCATCGGCTATACGTGCAATGCGAGTCTACGTGTATGTGCATCTACCCACAATCTGTCTCTCGGTCGACTTTGATACTTCCATTTCTCCGGATACGTCAATTACTATTCACCGAATAATTTCTTAATCCCTTTGCGACGTTTACTCTTCTCCATTCAATCAAATTTATTGACAATGTACATTTTTATCGTTATAAATCATTACGTATTAAAAGCATCAGAATTATTTTATTCTATAAATTAAAGATATTATTATCACCGTAAGAGGAAGTGTTACATATGTTATAAAAAGTAAATGCACGTACTTTACATAACGTGCTAAAATTCGATCACTGATTTAATTATTGCCACATCGTGTGCAAAATATAAAATATTATCTAATTACATATTTACATGAGATTAAATAATGATTTAATTTAAACAACTTTTTAAGAAATGGTGTATATAAACTTTAATACTTCACTGTTTATTAATTAATTACACTGGACTATGGAGACTGTTACTTTGAATAAGTATTTATCCATATATTAATAGTAATAATTTGTCGTTCTATTATAGTCAAGATTTTTATAATGATTTTTCTTATTATTTTTAATTACTTTCGTTTCTTATGTTACAATACCTGTTTTTTATTTGATACAATATGTATTGCAATGATTCACTAATTATTAGTATTAATTAAAATTGCAACGAGTTGTATTTACGAATAATTATTTTGGATTATGGCTTGAATTATTGACCAGAACAGTTAAAAATTGTATGTCGTTCCTGTGCCAATTTTCAAATCATACAAAACTAATTACTTTCGAGTTGCACTGAAAATTCATTCGCTTGACCGTTCTTTCCTGAACATTCAGTATGGCTTATCGTTTCATACGATAAATATCGTTCTAGATATCCTTACCAGATATCAGCTAAGATCCTTTCAAGACAGATGATACTTCTTCTTACATAGTTGCCTAAGCCTCTCGATACCCTTCCGTCGGTCGTGCTCGTACGCGTTTTCCCATGCGTCTAATAGCAGATTATAGTACCTGGGCTCTTCGAAGAAGCCGAGGTACTTGTGCGTGGTACCAGTGGGGAAGATTTTCTCAAAACGGCCGGTTTGCGTGATCTCGTCCTCGTGTCTAATCAACACCCTCACGTCGTCCGACGTGAGATTCCTCAGTATCGATTTTAAATAGAACTTCCGAAGTGGCTTCCTCAAGAACATATTCTGCTTCTTCTTTTGCTCCCATGTCGACATGTTCGAATATAGCTGCCGGTTGTAGCAAACACCGTGCTCCTTGTACAACAGCCTCAGCATCTTCAGTTCCTTATCGCTCAATATATCGGGCACGTGAAAACCGACGAGGTTCAAATAATCCTTAGCTAATTGGCCTTTGACTATCTTGCATAACGGTGTGTCAGGCTCCATCGAAGGAAAGTCGTTCACCTCTAGAAGCCATGGTCGATAATGATTGTCCAATAAAACGTCGAAACCGAAAAGTTGATAAGAATTGTACGTCGTCGACAAGGACATTTTCTTCCATGCTCGGATCAGGGAGGGTTCAGCGGAGATCACGGTCTTAACGGCGATGTCCTTGATCTGCGTCCAGATTTTAAAAGTGTCCACGTTCTCCATGCTGGCCAAATAATTCCACAAGCAGTTCAACGACCACATGTTGCCTTTACATTTGTACGGATTGTCGTTCGGTCGGAAATTTGGGCTAACTTTGTTCACGCTCGTGTTCGTTAGATGCATAAACCTGTCGGACAAGTACTTCACGTTGTTAACGTACTTGATGGTGGCGAGCCGGACCAAGCCCTCGTTGTAAACGTAGATCCTGAGTGGGTCGATGCTGGTCAGGAGGACGTACAGTCTTATGTCGAACTTGATGCCGTCGATCAGTCTGGGCCAGGCGATGTACCGTTGAACCACGAGCGAATCGTAATTGGGTATCTCGTACAAGCGCGAGATTATCTTGATCCCGCTTCCAGCGCAGGAGTTCGGCGGTTTCACGATCCAAATTCCACCGTTCTTCTGCATCAACTTCCTCAAGTTCTCCCTCTCTTCAGGCAAAATGAAAGTTAACGGCATGTAATCGAAATCGTTGATGCCGAACTTTTTCCTCATCCTGCGAAAGTTCCTCCAAAGCGATATCTTGTTGCCCAGCTCGATGCTGCTGGGGAAGTGGTTCACCTTAGAGAACTTCTTCGGCTGCCTCAGCTTCGAATAAGCCAGCGTGCTGCACCAGGTGCCGCACCAATTAGCCGTGGAATCTTTGGTGATCCTGAATCCTGATCTCCGTACCGTGTGAGTTACTATCTGCGGGACGAACCTCTTTCTCGACTGCCACCAGAACAAGTGTCTCGTGATCTGAATCGGTAGCTTGCACATTCCATTCGTGTGGAAGATGATGAACGGCGGGACGTGAGCGAACAGGCTTTTGCGCATCGGTAGCGACAGATTCTTATCACCGGAACCGCTTGGGTCTACCATGATCCGTCGATAAGGTCTAGCCAGCATCAATTCCTCGGTGATCTCGTCATACGTGAACATCTCATCGTCCTCGAAGGAATCGTAGTACAACGATAATTGACTGAAACAGGTACAGGTGCACGTGTCGCGTTTCGTTACGACGGTCATGTTGCTCTTCTTGGCGGGGTAGCTGCGAATTTTTTGTTTCGTCATCTGGGGGAACCTCATTGTGGAGTCTGTTCGGGGTAATTAGAGTTGAAATGACACTGAAAATTTTTGAAAGGTTTGGCCGAAAGTGATAGGTGTGTAGGGTTAGTAATGGGTGATGCGGTGAACGATGAAGTTTGCACTTTTCTTTTACATTAGACAGTAATTGAAGCTATGTGATTATCATATCGTCCGATTATCGATTTGTAATCATGCTTGTATGTAAAAGATAAAATGTAATTCCTCTCTGCATATAACTTTTTATGATATTTTTTAAAATAAATAGCTTATTCACTTGATATTCTTTATTTATTTATTCCTTTTACCAATTATAACATTTTTATTCTTATTATATAATATAATATCGGAACGCTTACTTTCGTA